CCCTCTCTCTCTCTCTCTCTCTCTCTCTCTCTCTCTCTCTCTCTCTCTCTCTCTCTCTCTCTCTCTCTCTCTCTCTCTCTCTCTCTCTCTCTCTCTCTCTCTCTCTCTCTCTCTCTCTCTCTCTCTCTCTATCTCTGTGTGTGTATCTCTCTCTATCTCTCTCTCTGTCTCTCTCTCTGTGTGTGTGTATCTCTCTCTCAATTCAATTCAATTCAAGGGGCTTTATTGGCATGAACGTTTTTGAAACAATGTTGCCAAAGCATATACAAAATATACGAATAAAATATATAATATATATAGTATATATAAACATTTAACACAATGTTGGATATATTTGTGTGTGTGTGTCGGTCACTCACTGTCCCTCAGGTTGTGGCATGTTTGTACATATTTGGCAGCAAGATAAGTTCTGTCTCCTTCTCCCAGGAGAAAGTTTAATTTAGAAATTTCATTCAGGTCTTTGAAATTTGGGATTATACAGTTAAATTTGTTAAAGTAAAGGTTCCTTGTGTCTTTGAACGCTTCACATTGTAGGAGAAAGTGACTCTGACTCTCTCTCTCTCTATCTCTCTCTGTGTGTGTGTGTAATCTGTGTATCTCTCCCTCTCTCTCTCTCTCTCTCTCTCTCTCCCTCTCTCTCTCTCCCTCTCTCTCTCTTATGATGGATAGATCCACTTTTATGGACTTCCAAACACATACAGCCGTTCACTGCCATTATAAAGCTTGGAAGAGCCAGGACATTTCTAATATAACTCTGATTGTATTCGTCTGAAAGAAGAGTGTCATATACACCTAGGATGACTTGAGGGTGATTAAATCATGGGCTAATATTCATTTTTGGGTGAATTTACCCTTTAATAAAGTGTTCTAAACCCCCCTCAGCTGTCCTCTGATTGGCCGCTGGTCTGACGGAGCAGTGATGCGGCTGCTGATGGTGCTGATGGAGGTCTAGGCGTGGGATGTTACGCTGGGCGGTGCACCTGGAGGGCGGCCCGCGGCGGGTCAACCACGCGGCGGTGGCGGTCGGGCACAAGGTGTACTCGTTCGGCGGGTACTGCTCGGGGGAAGACTACGACACGCTCAGGCAGATCGACGTGCACGTCTTCAACACCGGTGAGGGACAAACCATTACATTCATTACATTATTCGAACAGCTGGATTTTTATTAAGTAACATTAACAAAGATTAATAAATACAGTAACAAATGTACTGCTCATTGTTTCATGATAGTTAATACATTAACTCATGTAAACTAATTAACCTTATTGTAAAGTGTTACCGGATTTCTTGTGAAGATGCTTTGAAACAATGTAATAGTGGAAAGTGCTATACAAATAAAGTTGAATTGAGTTAAACTGAATGGTGTTTTTGCTGGTTCCGTATGTGAGCGTCTTTTGTGTGTTTGTCTGTGAGCGTCTCGCGTGTTTGTGTGTCTAGTGTGTGTGTGTGTGTGTGTGTCTGTGAGCGTCTCGTGTGTGTGTGTGTGTCTGTGAGCATCTCGTGTATGTGTGTCTGGTGTGTGTGTGTGTGAGCGTCTCGTGTGTGTGTGTGTGTGTCTGTGAGCGTCTCGTGTGTGTGTGTCTGCGAGCGTCTCATTTGTGTGTGTGTGTGTGTCGGCAGTGTCTCTGCGCTGGACGAAGCTGCCGCCGGTGCGCACCGGAGGACGAGAGCACACTCGGGAGGTTCCCTACATGCGCTACGGACACACCGCTGTCCTGCTGGACGAGACCATCTTCATCTGGGGCGGCAGGAACGACACAGAGGGCGCGTGTAATGTGCTGTACGCCTTCGACGTCAGTAGGTGGCGCTCACACAAGCTCATGCAGACTCTCTCAGACTCTCTCAGACTCACTCTGACTCTCTCAGACTCTCTCAGACTCACTCTGACTCACTCTGACTCACTCAGACTCACTCAGACTCACTCAGACTCACTCTGACTCACTCTGACTCACTCAGACTCACTCTGACTCTTGCAGACTAACGCAGACTCGTGCAGACTCACTCTGACTCTCTCAGACTCACTCTGACTCTCTCAGACTCACTCTGACTCACTCAGACTCACTCTGACTCTTGCAGACTAACGCAGACTCGTGCAGACTCACTCTGACTCACTCAGACTCACTCAGACTCGTGCAGACTCACTCAGACTCACTCAGACTCTTGCAGACTAACGCAGACTCACTCAGACTCGTGCAGACTCACTCAGACTCACTCTGACTCTCGCAGACTAACGCAGACTAACGCAGACTCACTCAGACTCACTCAGACTCGTGCAGACTCACTCAGACTCACTCAGACTCACTCAGACTCACTCTGACTCACTCTGACTCACTCAGACTCACTCTGACTCTCGCAGACTAACGCAGACTCACTCAGACTCACTCAGACTCACTCAGACTCACTCAGACTCACTCAGACTCACTCTGACTCACTCTGACTCACTCTGACTCGTGCAGACTCACTCAGACTCACTCTGACTCTCGCAGACTTACGCAGACTCACTCAGACTCACTCAGACTCACTCAGACTCGTGCAGACTCACTCAGACTCACTCAGACTCACTCAGACTCACTCAGACTCTTGCAGACTAACGCAGACTCACTCAGACTCGTGCAGACTCACTCAGACTCACTCTGACTCTCGCAGACTAACGCAGACTAACGCAGACTAACGCAGACTCACTCAGACTCGTGCAGACTCACTCAGACTCACTCAGACTCACTCAGACTCACTCAGACTCACTCTGACTCTTGCAGACTAACGCAGACTCACTCAGACTCACTCTGACTCTCGCAGACTAACGCAGACTCACTCAGACTCACTCAGACTCACTCTGACTCACTCTGACTCACTCTGACTCACTCTGACTCACTCTGACTCACTCAGACTCTTGCAGACTAACGCAGACTCACTCAGACTCGTGCAGACTCACTCAGACTCACTCTGACTCTCGCAGACTAACGCAGACTCACTCAGACTCACTCAGACTCGTGCAGACTCACTCAGACTCACTCAGACTCACTCAGACTCACTCTGACTCTGACTCACTCAGACTCACTCTGACTCTTGCAGACTAACGCAGACTCACTCAGACTCACTCTGACTCTCGCAGACTAACGCAGACTCACTCAGACTCACTCAGACTCACTCAGACTCACTCTGACTCACTCTGACTCACTCTGACTCGTGCAGACTCACTCAGACTCACTCTGACTCTCGCAGACTTACGCAGACTCACTCAGACTCACTCAGACTCACTCAGACTCGTGCAGACTCACTCAGACTCACTCAGACTCACTCTGACTCACTCTGACTCACTCTGACTCACTCTGACTCACTCAGACTCATTCAGACTCACTCTGACTCACTCTGACTCTCGCAGACTAACGCAGACTAACGCAGACTCACTCAGGCTCACTCAGACTCACTCTGACTCACTCAGACTCACTCAGACTCACTCAGACTCACTCAGACTCACTCTGACTCGTGCAGACTCACTCTGACTCTCGCAGACTCTCGCAGAGTCACTCATTAACTAATGTTAACAAACTTTATTGTAAAGTATGACCATATTTCTAAAACACTGAAGAATGCACAAAAACATTTCTTTTTGTTCCAGCGTTTGATCTCGTTTTTTCTTGATCATGATTTAATTTTCACACACAAAAACAAGAGTTTCTCAGATCAGCAGCAGCATCAGTGTAACATCATCAGTAATGAGTGTGGAGTGTGTCCTGATGAAGAGGAGTCCTCCTCTTCCTCCTCGAGCGACACACGATACACTCGAGTTCGTCAGAAGAACCCCGTGGAGTTCGAGAGCGTGACTGGAGTCCGGTGGTGTTTGTGTCACTGCCTTTGGTGTTTCTCCTGTAATGGCTATTCTGTTCTCAGATCAGCACCGGTGCTGTTCTATTTCGTTCTTACTGACCGCCAGAGGCAGTGCTTCCCACTGAATATTATCTCTCTTGCTCATGCTCAGGTCGAGTCTAATAACAACAAAGTCATCACATGACCAGGTACGTCATGGGGATCCCCTCTATTTAACCCCGTGACATCCTGCAAACTGTCTCTTTAATCTTCTCGCATACGGGCAGATTACAGGTCGAAGAGAAAAATCTTTCATTCAGAATACTTGGATTCCGTCTTTCACAGCCTCGTAACAAACATTTTTGTTGGAGCCGCGCGTTGTGCGTCCTCCAGAGGCTGCGGCGGATTGAAGACAAACTTACTTTGTTGGAACACGGCTGTGTATTCCGGTCGCTGCCAGAGCGCGGTAAGTTGCTTATAAGCACCGGATATTGTTTCTTTGATGAAACGTGTATAAGTGGCATCTCAGAGTGGTTTCGCTCCGAAGAAAGGCCACGTAGTGATTAATTATCGCGAACAGTAAGAGTGTGTGCGCTCCAGGAACAACAATATATTTTTCGTTACAGACCATCGGCGTTCACGGCAGTCGGTTGTATTCATATTGAGCATTCAAATTAGGTAAGTATTTTTATAAATTACATAGTCTTACACATGTAGCTATGTACATCCAATTTCATTGTTTTTGTTTGTTTTTTCTTATATAGGTAGTATATTTCAAGCAGTTGCGTTATATACGAGTGTTTTCGCTCTGTTTTCTGGACTGCTACCACCTGGTACTTCTATTAACAGTGGGATAAGTATTACCACTAGTTTGGCTGTGTAAAAAAAAAAAATTACATAAATTAAAAAAATAATAATAAAAATGTCTAATTCGGTACCTTACCGTATAGAATTTTTGTGGCTCCCAGAGTGTTCTCGCTTGGCCTTCAATAAAGCACTGCTGTGGCAGTATGGAACAGCTTAGCCTGACGTGCACTGTGTGCAGGGCCACTTTACAGCAGGACGATGGACATGACTGCTGTCCATCCTGCTTAGGATTGGAACATTTGAAGCAGGGCCTCACTGAGGATGCCTGTATGAATTGTAGCACCATGTCGTGGGAGCGGAGAACCTCCAGACTAACTGCAGTAGAGGCACTCTTGATCTCAGAGGCCCCTCGGCAGGGAAAAGTGTCGGCTAAGCGGAAAAGGGTGGAAACGGTGAGTGTGTCCACCAGTAAGAGACATAGAGAGGATTCTTTAACCAATAGAGTGGAGGTGTTGACCTCAGAGTTTGCCCAGATTAAGTCTTTAATTCTAAATCTGCAACCAAGGGAGGCATCATCACCGATATTGAGAAATCCCAGTAAAGAATTACCTGTTCCTTAGGAGGATATGCTGTCCATGGCAGCCTCTCAAAACCAGTTCCGGGAGGAGGGAAATGAGGAATTCTTATCAGTAAGCCACTCTCACTTCTCTCATGAGGACTCTCAGAACACGGCACAGGGTTCAGCTGAAGGAGTAGAATCAGATCAGGATGTGGTGAGACAAGCCCTTCAGATTGCGTTGGCACGCTTAAGCCTGGACACTGCCCCTACAGTGGCAGCTCCCTCCAGTGCCTTTTTCAGAGGAACGGCAAAACCATCTGCTCTTAGCATTCCCCCATCCAAGGATTATATCGGGGAACTACAGAGGTGCTGGGCTAATCCCAAGTCACTTACTCATCATACCACAGCAAGCAGGGCCTTGGCAGCAATGCACGAACCAGACTCTTATGGCCTGGGTCAGATGCCGAAAGTGGATCCATTTATCACCTCTTTTATTATATCACCGGAAGAGGCTTGGAGACCTAATGCTCGCTGCCCACGACCTCAGTGCAAAATAACGGACGATCTTCTTAGTCAAGCGTACAATACTGCAGCACACATGGGTCGCATAGGGAACTCACTCTCCCATCTTATGCTGGCGCTATCCCAGTCTCTCCAACCTATTGGGGGTGATCCTTCAGCCCAAATACTAAGCGATGCATCATTGCAAGCATTCGCATTCATGTCACGAGAGTTGGGTAGACTCATGTCAACACTCACTCAGGCACGCCGGCAAGTATGGCTGGCACAGTCTCCATTGTCAGAGGCCTGTAGGAGAACACTTCGTGACCTCCCTGTAGTCCCAGGCCAACTGTTTGGACCAGCGGCACAGCAAACTCTGGAACAGAGCATTCAGACGAATAAGACCAGACAGCAGCTGGCAGACCTAAGAGGAACTCCACCATCACAAGTTAGACAAGGGTATGGGGGACGGTATCCTACTCGCTCTCAACCTTTAGTTCGTTCTGGTGCTGTTCAGAGGAGCCAGCCAAGGCAACTAGATCAGCATGTGCAGTACCCCAGAGCACGAGGACAGCAAGTATTTCGGGCTCCAAGGGGCAGGGCGTCAGGTCAGCGCCCCCCCAGAGACAATAAAGCCCAGGCTCGCAGGGCATGAAGTCCTGGGGCCAACCGTCGGACGTTTTTCACACCAGCAGCTCAATTTCTGGAAAGAGAACACCTCAAACCCTTGGTTAATAGCAACGCTATCTCAAGGGTACAGGCTGCAATTCCGAAGGCGGGCCCCTGCTTTCAATGGGGTCAAGATGACTACTGTCAAAGACCCCAACAGCTCACTGGCATTGTCAAGACAAGTAGCCGAACTCCTAGAAAAGGACGCCATAGAACCAGTAAAATGGTCAGCACGGCTAAATGGGTTTTACTCAGTGTACTATATAATCCCGAAAAAAGATGGCGGCGTAAGGCCCATTCTCGACCTTCGTGGCCTCAATCAGTCCCTCAAGGTTTTACCATTCCACATGCTACGCACAACAGAGGTCCTTCAGGCAGTCAGACCACTACAGTGGTTCACCACAATAGATCTGAAGGACGCTTATTTTCATATCCCAATTGCACCGCAACCCTTGGCTGACCCTTTCTCCGCTTTGCATTTCAAGGTCAGCTCTATCAGTTCCGAGTCCTACCATTTGGGCTGTCCCTGTCCCCTCGGGTGTTCACCAGGTGCGTAGCGGCAGCGTTGTCCCCAATACAAGCCAGGGGGGTACAGGTGCTCCCTTATCTGGACGACTGGCTCATCTGTGCTCCATCTCAAGGGCAGGCAACAGAACACACCAATCTGCTGATTGCCCATGTCACTCAGTTGGGTCTCAGGGTGAATTTCAGCAAGAGTCAGTTGACCCCATGTCAGTCGGTGAAATTCATAGGCATCACTCTAGACTCGAGATCAATGAAAGCATTCCCATCACCTCAGAGGGTGGACAGCATATTGCTCTTACTCCAGCATTTTCGGAAACAGATCAAGCTGCCATTCAGAGCGGTCCTCAGATTGATGGGCATGCTAGCAGCAGCAGCGGCATTGATTCCATTCGGCCTACTTTCGCTGCGCCCTTATCAGAGATGGGTAAACAGTCTTCACCTGAACCCCACATGGCACAGGAGCAGGCTGGTCAAAGTTACAGAACGATGCCTTCTTACCTTGAAACAATGGAAAAGGAGGTCATTCCTGACGAAAGGGGTAGCTCTGGGTGTGATTCCCTCTCGCCGGGAGATAATACAGACAGATGCTTCACTAAGTGGCTGGGGGGCAGTGTTGATCAGGGGATTATGGAAACCCGAGCAAGCCACAAAAGACATAAATACCCTGGAGCAACAAGCAGTGCAATTAGCTCTGAAGCATTTTGCACCGGCCCTAAAGAATCGCCATATTCTCATCAGAACGGACAATACATCGGTGGTATATCATATCAACCATCAAGGCGGCACAAGGTCCAGTCAGTCCTTGAGAGTAGCACAAGACCTCCTGACATGGGCCTTCCCTCGATTCGCAAGCGTCAGGGCAATGCATATGCCGGGAGTGTCGAATGTGGTGGCAGACTTCTTGTCTCGCCACAGACCTTTGCCAGGAGAATGGAGACTCAATCCAGAAGTTGTTCAGATGATTTGGTGACGATTTGGCAGAGCACAGGTGGACCTGTTTGCCTCAGAGACCTCGACCCACTGCCCCCTGTGGTTCTCCTGGACAGAGAAGTCCAGCCCGTTAGGTCAGGATGCGTTAGCACATGCCTGGCCAAATCTTCTACTCTATGCCTTTCCCCCGAACCCCTTAATTCTGCCAACTCTCCACAGAATTCTTCAAGGGAACCACAGAATGCTCCTAGTGGCACCGAACTGGCCAGGGAGACATTGGTTTCCAATGTATTGCAGGCTTCTCAATGGGGAGCCCTGGAGCCTACCCAGGAGGCAGGACCTGCTCCTTCAGTTGCAGGGGCAGATTTGGCACTCAAACCCAGATCGGTTACAGCTCTGTGTCTGGCCGCTGAAGAGCCAGAATTACTGTTGAAGTCTTGTGATGTTAAGGTGCAAAACACAATCCTGAATTCTAGAGCACCTTCCACCAGGAATATCTATGCTTGCAGGTGGAAGCTTTTCACTGATTGGTGTACACCAAGAAGTTTGGTCCCAGACCACTGCCCAGTGCCAATGGTGTAATGTTTTCTGCAGTCCCTGCTAGACAATAACAGGGCTCCCTCTACCCTAAAGGTATATGTGGCTGCAATTTCTGCCCAGCATGTAAAGGTAAATGGTCAATCACTAGGGTCACATATTCTAATCACCCGCTTTCTGAAAGGTGCTCAGCGATTGCACCCTGCTCCAACTGTTAGAGTACCCGCATGGGACCTCAGTCTGGTTTTAAGAACACTTGCACAACACCCATTTGAGCCAATGGAGCATTGTGACCTGAAGTGGCTTTCAATAAAGACTGTATTCCTTTTGGCAATAACGTCAGCCAAACGTGTTGGTGAGCTCCACATATTGTCAACCAATACGTCCTGTATGCGTTGGAATGCGGATGGAACAATGGTGACATTGTGGCCTAACCCCTCATTCCTACCCAAAAGGCTCTCAACTTCATTTAGGAATAAACCAATTGAGTTGGTAGCACTTAATCGTTCTGTGTCTGACACATAAGAGCGCAATCCAATGGAACAAGTATGCCCAGTGCGAGCCCTTCGGGGCTATCTGAGTGCCACAGAGAAACTGCGACGGTCAGACCAACTCTTTCTCTGCTACGGCGGGCCAAGAAAAGGGCAGCCTCTGTCAAAGCAGAGGTTGTCACAGTGGGTGGTGGAGGTCATTGTCCAGGCATATAAGGAAAACAACCTGACAGTGCCAGCCGGCATAAAATGCCATTCAACAAGAAGTATCTCAACATCTTGGGCAGCATTAAAACGTGTACCTCTAATGGACATTTGTGCAGCGGCTAATTGGTCATCCACTGATACCTTTTCCAGATACTACCGGGTTAATGTGGCAGCCCCTGGTGCTCTGGAAGCGGCAGTCCTCTTGGGACCCTCAACTTCAGCTTAAGGTTAGGAGTAGCCTCCTCGTGACCTTGTTGTTATGAGTCATCCAGTGGGAAGCACTGCCTCTGGCGGTCAGTAAGAACGAAATAGAACGAGAGTTACGAATGTAACTACGGTTCTATGAGTTCTGGATGACCGCCAGAGCACCCTGTCACTCGGAGTCTCGCGAGAAGATTCTGTAGAGACAGTTTGCAGGATGTCACGGGGTTAAATAGAGGGGATCCCCATGACGTACCTGGTCATGTGATGACTTTGTTTTTATTAGACTCGACCTGAGCATGAGCAAGAGAGATAATATTCAGTGGGAAGCACTGCCTCTGGCGGTCATCCAGAACTCATAGAACCGTAGTTACATTCGTAACTCTCGTTTGTGTCACTGCCTCTGGTGTTTCTCCTGTAACGGCTGTTCTGTTCTCAGATCAGCACCGGTGGTGTTTGTGTCACTGCCTCTGGTGTTTCTCCTGTAACGGCTGTTCTGTTCTCAGATCAGCACCGGTGCTGTTTGTGTCACTGCCTCTGGTGTTTCTCCTGTAACGGCTGTTCTGTTCTCAGATCAGCACCGGTGCTGTTTGTGTCACTGCCTCTGGTGTTTCTCCTGTAACGGCTGTTCTGTTCTCAGATCAGCACCGGTGGTGTTTGTGTCACTGCCTCTGGTGTTTCTCCTGTAACGGCTGTTCTGTTCTCAGATCAGCACCGGTGGTGTTTGTGTCACTGCCTCTGGTGTTTCTCCTGTAACGGCTGTTCTGTTCTCAGATCAGCACCGGTGCTGTTTGTGTCACTGCCTCTGGTGTTTCTCCTGTAACGGCTGTTCTGTTCTCAGATCAGCACCGGTGGTGTTTGTGTCACTGCCTCTGGTGTTTCTCCTGTAACGGCTGTTCTGTTCTCAGATCAGCACCGGTGGTGTTTGTGTCACTGCCTCTGGTGTTTCTCCTGTAACGGCTGTTCTGTTCTCAGATCAGCACCGGTGCTGTTTGTGTCACTGCCTCTGGTGTTTCTCCTGTAACGGCTGTTCTGTTCTCAGATCAGCACCGGTGGTTCACTCCCAAGATCTCGGGAACGGTTCCGGGCGCCAGAGACGGACACTCGGCCTGCGTTCTGGGAAAAGCCATGTTCATCTTCGGTGGATACGAGCAGCTGGTGTGTGTGTGTGTGTGTCTTCCGTGATGAACTTCAGTGCTAACGTGATGAACCTGTGTTTGAGATGTGTGTGTTTGTGTTCTCAGGCCGACTGTTTCTCCAACGACATTCACAAGCTGGACACCAGTAGCATGTGCTGGTCACTGGTCAACGCCCGGGTGAGTGTGTGTGTGTGTGTGTGTGTGTGTCTGGTGCCACTAGAGGGAGGCGTGGAGCCTTGATCTGTGAACAACTGCTGTCACTATAACACAACACCACAGACAGAAGTGTGTGTGTGTGTGCGATCGTCGGTTTCATGATGAGTGTGTGTGTGTGTTAGAGAATGTGTGTGATTGTCTGTTTAATTATGAGTGTGTGTGTGTGTGTGATTTTCAGTTTGTTGATGAGTGTGTGTTTGTCAGTCTGTGTGAGTGTGTGTGTGAGTGAGTGCGAGTGTGTGTGTGTGTTCTGTACTCTGACTGTGGTGTGTGTGTGTTCTGTACTCTGACTGTGGTGTGTGTGTGTGTTTGTGTTCTGTACTCTGACTGTGGTGTGTGTGTGTGTGTGTGTGTGTTCTGTACTCTGACTGTGGTGTGTGTGTGTGTGTGTGTTCTGTACTCTGACTGTGGTGTGTGTGTGTGTTCGTTCTGTACTCTGACTGTGGTGTGTGTGTGTGTGTGTGAGTGTTCTGTACTCTGACTGTGGTGTGTGTGTGTGTGTGTGTGTGTGTGTTCTGTACTCTGACTGTGGTGTGTGTGTGTTCTGTACTCTGACTGTGGTGTATGTGTGTGTGTGTGTGTGTGTGTGTTCTGTACTCTGACTGTGGTGTGTGTGTGTGTGTGTGTGTGTGTGTGTGTGTTGTGTACTCTGACTGTGGTGTATGTGTGTGTGTGTGTGTGTGTGTGTTCTGTACTCTGACTGTGGTGTGTGTGTGTGTGTGTGTGTGTGTGTGTTGTGTACTCTGACTGTGGTGTATGTGTTTGTGTGTGTGTTGTGTACTCTGACTGTGGTGTATGTGTTTGTGTGTGTGTTGTGTACTCTGACTGTGGTGTATGTGTGTGTGTGTGTGTGTGTGTTCTGTACTCTGACTGTGGTTTGTGTGTGTTGTGTACTCTGACTGTGGTGGATGTGTGTGTGTGTGTGTGTGTGTGTGTTCTGTACTCTGACTGTGGTGTGTGTGTGTGTGTGTGTGTGTGTGTGTGTGTTCTGTACTCTGACTGTGGTGTGTGTGTGTGTGTGTGTGTGTGTGTGTGTTCTGTACTCTGACTGTGGTGTATGTGTGTGTGTGTGTGTGTGTGTGTGTTCTGTACTCTGACTGTGGTGTGTGTGTGTGTGTGTGTGTGTGTGTGTGTGTGTTGTGTACTCTGACTGTGGTGTATGTGTTTGTGTGTGTGTTGTGTACTCTGACTGTGGTGTATGTGTTTGTGTGTGTGTTGTGTACTCTGACTGTGGTGTATGTGTGTGTGTGTGTGTGTGTGTGTTCTGTACTCTGACTGTGGTTTGTGTGTGTTGTGTACTCTGACTGTGGTGGATGTGTGTGTGTGTGTGTGTTTTGTACTCTGACTGTGGTGTGTGTGTGTGTGTTGTGTACTCTGACTGTGGTGTGTGTGTGTGTGTGTGTTGTGTACTCTGACTGTGGTGTGTGTGTGTGTGTGTGTGTGTGTTGTGTACTCTGACTGTGGTGTGTGTGTGTTGTGTACTCTGACTGTGGTGTGTGTGTGTGTGTGTGTGTGTGTTGTGTACTCTGACTGTGGTGTGTGTGTGTTGTGTACTCTGACTGTGGTGTGTGTGTGTGTGTGTGTGTGTGTTGTGTACTCTGACTGTGGTGTGTGTGTGTGTGTGTGTGTGTGTTGTGTACTCTGACTGTGGTGTATGTGTTTGTGTGTGTGTTGTGTACTCTGACTGTGGTGTATGTGTTTGTGTGCGTGTTGTGTACTCTGACTGTGGTGTATGTGTGTGTGTGTGTGTGTGTGTTCTGTACTCTGACTGTGGTTTGTGTGTGTTGTGTACTCTGACTGTGGTGGATGTGTGTGTGTGTGTGTGTGTGTGTGTTCTGTACTCTGACTGTGGTGTGTGTGTGTGTGTGTGTGTGTGTGTGTGTGTTCTGTACTCTGACTGTGGTGTGTGTGTGTGTGTGTGTGTGTGTGTTCTGTACTCTGACTGTGGTGTATGTGTGTGTGTGTGTGTGTGTGTGTGTGTTCTGTACTCTGACTGTGGTGTGTGTGTGTGTGTGTGTGTGTGTGTGTGTGTGTGTGTGTGTTGTGTACTCTGACTGTGGTGTATGTGTTTGTGTGTGTGTTGTGTACTCTGACTGTGGTGTATGTGTTTGTGTGTGTGTTGTGTACTCTGACTGTGGTGTATGTGTGTGTGTGTGTGTGTGTGTTCTGTACTCTGACTGTGGTTTGTGTGTGTTGTGTACTCTGACTGTGGTGGATGTGTGTGTGTGTGTGTGTTTTGTACTCTGACTGTGGTGTGTGTGTGTGTGTTGTGTACTCTGACTGTGGTGTGTGTGTGTGTGTGTTGTGTACTCTGACTGTGGTGTGTGTGTGTGTGTGTGTGTGTGTTGTGTACTCTGACTGTGGTGTGTGTGTGTTGTGTACTCTGACTGTGGTGTGTGTGTGTGTGTGTGTGTGTGTGTGTTGTGTACTCTGACTGTGGTGTGTGTGTTTGTGTGTGTGTTGTGTACTCTGACTGTGGTGTATGTGTGTGTGTGTGTGTTGTGTACTCTGACTGTGGTGTATGTGTTTGTGTGTGTGTTGTGTACTCTGACTGTGGTGTATGTGTGTGTGTGTGTGTGTGTGTTCTGTACTCTGACTGTGGTTTGTGTGTGTTGTGTACTCTGACTGTGGTGGATGTGTGTGTGTGTGTGTGTTTTGTACTCTGACTGTGGTGTGTGTGTGTGTGTTGTGTACTCTGACTGTGGTGTGTGTGTTTGTGTGTGTGTTGTGTACTCTGACTGTGGTGTATGTGTGTGTGTGTGTGTTGTGTACTCTGACTGTGGTGTATGTGTGTGTGTGTGTGTTGTGTACTCTGACTGTGGTGTGTGTGTTTGTGTGTGTGTTGTGTACTCTGACTGTGGTGTATGTGTGTGTGTGTGTGTTGTGTACTCTGACTGTGGTGTATGTGTTTGTGTGTGTGTTGTGTACTCTGACTGTGGTGTATGTGTGTGTGTGTGTGTGTGTGTTCTGTACTCTGACTGTGGTTTGTGTGTGTTGTGTACTCTGACTGTGGTGGATGTGTGTGTGTGTGTGTGTTTTGTACTCTGACTGTGGTGTGTGTGTGTGTGTTGTGTACTCTGACTGTGGTGTGTGTGTGTGTGTGTTGTGTACTCTGACTGTGGTGTGTGTGTGTGTGTGTGTGTGTGTGTTGTGTACTCTGACTGTGGTGTGTGTGTGTTGTGTACTCTGACTGTGGTGTGTGTGTGTGTGTGTGTGTGTGTTGTGTACTCTGACTGTGGTGTATGTGTTTGTGTGTGTGTTGTGTACTCTGACTGTGGTGTATGTGTGTGTGTGTGTGTGTGTGTGTGTGTTCTGTACTCTGACTGTGGTGTGTGTGTGTGTGTGTGTGTTCTGTACTCTGACTGTGGTGTATGTGTGTGTGTGTGTGTTGTGTACTCTGACTGTGGTGTATGTGTTTGTGTGTGTGTTGTGTACTCTGACTGTGGTGTATGTGTGTGTGTGTGTGTGTGTGTTCTGTACTCTGACTGTGGTTTGTGTGTGTTGTGTACTCTGACTGTGGTGGATGTGTGTGTGTGTGTGTGTGTTTTGTACTCTGACTGTGGTGTGTGTGTGTGTGTTGTGTACTCTGACTGTGGTGTGTGTGTGTGTGTGTTGTGTACTATGACTGTGGTGTGTGTGTGTGTGTGTGTGTGTGTTGTGTACTCTGACTGTGGTGTGTGTGTGTTGTGTACTCTGACTGTGGTGTGTGTGTGTGTGTGTGTGTGTGTTGTGTACTCTGACTGTGGTGTGTGTGTTTGTGTGTGTGTTGTGTACTCTGACTGTGGTGTATGTGTGTGTGTGTGTGTTGTGTACTCTGACTGTGGTGTATGTGTTTGTGTGTGTGTTGTGTACTCTGACTGTGGTGTATGTGTGTGTGTGTGTGTGTGTGTTCTGTACTCTGACTGTGGTTTGTGTGTGTTGTGTACTCTGACTGTGGTGGATGTGTGTGTGTGTGTGTGTTTTGTACTCTGACTGTGGTGTGTGTGTGTGTGTTGTGTACTCTGACTGTGGTGTGTGTGTTTGTGTGTGTGTTGTGTACTCTGACTGTGGTGTATGTGTGTGTGTGTGTGTTGTGTACTCTGACTGTGGTGTATGTGTGTGTGTGTGTGTTGTGTACTCTGACTGTGGTGTGTGTGTTTGTGTGTGTGTTGTGTACTCTGACTGTGGTGTATGTGTGTGTGTGTGTGTTGTGTACTCTGACTGTGGTGTATGTGTTTGTGTGTGTGTTGTGTACTCTGACTGTGGTGTATGTGTGTGTGTGTGTGTGTGTGTGTTCTGTACTCTGACTGTGGTTTGTGTGTGTTGTGTACTCTGACTGTGGTGGATGTGTGTGTGTGTGTGTGTTTTGTACTCTGACTGTGGTGTGTGTGTGTGTGTTGTGTACTCTGACTGTGGTGTGTGTGTGTGTGTGTTGTGTACTCTGACTGTGGTGTGTGTGTGTGTGTGTGTGTGTGTTGTGTACTCTGACTGTGGTGTGTGTGTGTTGTGTACTCTGACTGTGGTGTGTGTGTGTGTGTGTGTTGTGTACTCTGACTGTGGTGTATGTGTTTGTGTGTGTGTTGTGTACTCTGACTGTGGTGTATGTGTGTGTGTGTGTGTGTGTGTTCTGTACTCTGACTGTGGTTTGTGTGTGTTGTGTACTCTGACTGTGGTGGATGTGTGTGTGTGTGTGTGTTGTGTACTCTGACTGTGGTGTGTGTGTGTGTGTTGTGTACTCTGACTGTGGTGTGTGTGTGTGTGTGTTGTGTACTCTGACTGTGGTGTGTGTGTGTGTGTGTGTGTGTGTTGTGTACTCTGACTGTGGTGTGTGTGTGTTGTGTACTCTGACTGTGGTGTGTGTGTGTGTGTGTGTGTGTGTTGTGTACTCTGACTGTGGTGTGTGTCCTCAGGGAACTCCGGCTCGATGGAGAGATTTCCACTCCGCCACGGTCATCGGCTCGAAGATGTTTGTGTTCGGCGGGCGAGCGGATCGCTTCGGGCCGTTTCACTCCAACAACGAGATTTACTGCAACAAGATCAAGATCTTCGACACGGAGAGCAACAGCTGGATGAACACCGCGTCCGCGCAGCTGCTGCCCGAGGGCCGCCGGAGCCACTCCGCCTGTGAGACACTTTAAATTCTTGAATTGAATTAAAAGATAAGCATATATCAGGGCATAATCCAAATTTGACACAAAGGTGTAGAACAGCAGCCGGTGTCTCAGTCCATCATCACACCTGAGGCTAAAGCTGGCCCGAGCCTCCATACGCAGAGCAATATCTGCAGGCCTCTCACACACAGCCTGTGCACATGGCCTAAACTGCCAAAAATGAGGGCAATAACTTTACAAGAATAGCCAAAGTTATTGAAGACATTGTACCATGGTTGATATTTCAGCAGTTCTGAAGCATAGCAGGTGTCCATGTAAGCATCAAAAGAGCAACCGATTTCTATTATTGTAACGGCTTTGGTGTGTTCGTTAATTACAGCTGTGTCAGGTGTGTTTGGAAAGTGATTTATGGCAGTTTCCAATGTAGTGCACTGTCCGTGTGGAGGTGAGAACCAGTCTAGCTCGATCTTTTCGTTACAATGGATTGTGTTGACATTGTCTCTGAGCTCCTTCACTAAGAGTGCAACGATACGGTCATGTCGCGCGATGTACACACACACACACACACACACGCACACACACACACACGGACACACACAGAGAGACGCACACACACTCACGCACACACACACGCACACACACAGAGAGACACACACACACACACACACACGCACACACACACAAAGAGACACACACACACTGTTAACACGATTCTTGATTTCTCTCTAACAGTTGCTTATAATGGAGAGCTGTATATATTCGGTGGTTATAACGCTCGTCTGGATCGACACTTCAACGACCTCTGGAAGTTCAACCCAGGTGATTCTCCACACACACACACACACACACACACACACACACACACACACACACACACACACACACACACACACACACACACACACACTGTAACTGTTCTAGGTTCATGTGGTGATTCTCCTCACATACACACACACACACACACACACACACACACACACTGTAAGTGTTCTGGGTTCATGTGTCACGGGCAATATGATGGAATTCTCTTAGTGAGTGTGTGTGTGTGAATTCTCTCTGTTGTTTTGTCAACTATTATTTCATTTGACCACCTCAGAAAAATTATGAATTGCTAGTTTGATTTTCTTAAATTTTTATACAGTTTTTGAGCTGTTTCCATGGCAACCCATTGATGCTGTAATGAGGTGTGTCCATATAAGGCACGTGTGTATGAACGTACGACACAGATCACAGATGCTCAAGGACGTTCTGCTAAAATCACACACACACAGCACATAAGGCAAACCCTGGGCTCTTGTGTTACTCTGTGGAGTGTGTCAGTGTGTGTCCATCAGTGCTCATCCTTCAGCCAGTGATGTGTGTGTGTGTGTGTTCAGAGGCGTTCTCCTGGAGGAAGGTGGAGCCGAGGGGGAAGGGCCCGTGTCCCAGGCGGAGACAGTGCTGTTGCATGGTGGGAGATCGCATCATACTCTTCGGGGGAACCAGGTGAGCTCAGCGCGTCACATGACTTCTCAACTCTGATGATGTGTGTTAGGGTGGAAGTGGATTTACTGGGAAACAAACATGCCTAAATGAGCCAAAACCATGTGCTGCTTATTGAGCATAAAACTGTCATTCATCAGTCACACGCACGACATCATTCATCAGTCACACACATGACATCATTCATCAGTCACACGCACGACATCATTCATCAGTCACACGCACGACATCATTCATCAGTCACACACATGACATCATTCATCAGTCACACACACGACATCATTCATCAGTCACACGCACGACATCATTCATCAGTCACACGCACGACATCATTCATCAGTCACACGCACGACATCATTCATCAGTCACACGCACGACATCATTCATCAGTCACACGCACGACATCATTCATCAGTGACATCATTCATCAGTCACACGCACGACATCATTCATCAGTCACACACATGACATCATTCATCAGTCACACGCACGACATCATTCATCAGTCACACACATGACATCATTCATCAGTCACACGCACGACATCATTCATCAGTCACACGCATGACATCATTCATCAGTCACACACATGACATCATTCATCAGTCACACACATGACATCATTCATCAGTCACGCGCACGACATCATTCATCAGTCACACGCACGACATCATTCATCAGTCACACGCACGACATCATTCATCAGTCACACGCACGACATCATTCATCAGTCACACGCACGACATCATTCATCAGTCACACGCATGACATCATTCATCAGTCACACGCACGACATCATTCATCAGTCACACGCACGACATCATTCATCAGTCACACGCACGACATCATTCATCAGTCACACGCACGACATCATTCATCAGTCACACGCACGACATCATTCATCAGTCACACGCACGACATCATTCATCAGTCACACGCACGACATCATTCATCAGTCACACGCACGACATCATTCATCAGTCACACGCACGACATCATTCATCAGTCACACACATGACATCATTCATCAGTCACACACATGACATCATTCATCAGTCACACGCACGACATCATTCATCAGTCACACACATGACATCATTCATCAGTCACACACATGACATCATTCATCAGTCACACACATGACATCATTCATCAGTCACACGCACGACATCATTCATCAGTCACACACATGACATCATTCATCAGTCACACGCACGACATCATTCATCAGTCACACGCACGACATCATTCATCAGTCACACGCATGACATCATTCATCAGTCACACACATGACATCATTCATCAGTCACACACATGACATCATTCATCAGTCACACGCACGACATCATTCATCAGTCACACGCACGACATCATTCATCAGTCACACGCACGACATCATTCATCAGTCACACGCACGACATCATTCATCAGTCACACGCACGACATCATTCATCAGTCACACGCACGACATCATTCATCAGTCACACGCACGACATCATTCATCAGTCACACGCATGACATCATTCATCAGTCACACACATGACATCATTCATCAGTCACACACATGACATCATTCATCAGTCACACGCATGACATCATTCATCAGTCACACGCATGACATCATTCATCAGTCACACACATGACATCATTCATCAGTCACACGCACGACATCATTCATCAGTCACACGCACGACATCATTCATCAGTCACACGCACGACATCATTCATCAGTCACACGCACTGACATCATTCATCAGTCACACGCACGACATCATTCATCAGTCACACGCACGACATCATTCATCAGTCACACGCACGACATCATTCATCAGTCACACGCACGACATCATTCATCAGTCACACGCACGACATCATTCATCAGTCACACGCACGACATCATTCATCAGTCACACGCACGACATCATTCATCAGTCACACGCACGACATCATTCATCAGTCACACGCACGACATCATTCATCAGTCACACGCACGACATCATTCATCAGTCACACGCACGACATCATTCATCAGTCACACGCATGACATCATTCATCAGTCACACGCACGACATCATTCATCAGTCACACGCACGACATCATTCATCAGTCACATGCATGACATCATTCATCAGTCACACGCACGACATCATTCATCAGTCACACACATGACATCATTCACGCACGACATCATTCATCAGTCACACGCACGACATCATTCACGCACGACATCATTCATCAGTCACACACATGACATCATTCATCAGTCACACGCATGACATCATTCATCAGTCACACGCACGACATCATTCATCAGTCACACGCATGACATCATTCATCAGTCACACACATGACATCATTCATCAGTCACACGCACGACATCATTCATCAGTCACACGCACGACATCATTCATCAGTCACACGCACGACATCATTCATCAGTCACACGCACGACATCATTCATCAGTCACACGCATGACATCATTCATCAGTCACACGCATGACATCATTCATCAGTCACACGCATGACATCATTCATCAGTCACACACATGACATCATTCATCAGTCACACGCACGACATCATTCATCAGTCACACGCACGACATCATTCATCAGTCACACGCACGACATCATTCATCAGTCACACACATGACATCATTCATCAGTCACACGCACGACATCATTCATCAGTCACACGCACGACATCATCAGTCACACGCACGACATCATTCATCAGTCACACGCACGACATCATTCATCAGTCACACGCACGACATCATTCATCAGTCACACGCACGACATCATTCATCAGTCACACGCACGACATCATTCATCAGTCACACGCATGACATCATTCATCAGTCACACGCACGACATCATTCATCAGTCACACGCACGACATCATTCATCAGTCACACGCACGACATCATTCATCAGTCACACGCACGACATCATTCATCAGTCACACACATGACATCATTCATCAGTCACACGCACGACATCATTCATCAGTCACACGCACGACATCATTCATCAGTCACACGCACGACATCATTCATCAGTCACACGCACGACATCATTCATCAGTCACACGCACGACATCATTCATCAGTCACACGCACGACATCATTCATCAGTCACACACATGACATCATTCATCAGTCACACGCACGACATCATTCATCAGTCACACGCACGACATCATCAGTCACACGCACGACATCATTCATCAGTCACACGCACGACATCATTCATCAGTCACACGCACGACATCATTCATCAGTCACACGCACGACATCATTCATCAGTCACACGCACGACATCATTCATCAGTCACAACGCACGACATCATTCATCAGTCACACGCACGACATCATCAGTCACACGCACGACATCATTCATCAGTCACACGCACGACATCATTCATCAGTCACACGCACGACATCATTCATCAGTCACACGCACGACATCATTCATCAGTCACACGCACGACATCATTCATCAGTCACACGCACGACATCATTCATCAGTCACACGCACGACATCATTCATCAGTCACACACATGACATCATTCATCAGTCACACGCACGACATCATTCATCAGTCACACGCACGACATCATTCATCAGTCACACGCCGACACGTCATCATTCATCAGTCACACGCATGACATCATTCATCAGTCACACGCACGACATCATTCATCAGTCACACGCACGACATCATTCATCAGTCACACGCATGACATCATTCATCAGTCACACACATGACATCATTCATCAGTCACACGCATGACATCATTCATCAGTCACACACGCACGACATCATTCATCAGTCACACGCATGACATCATTCATCAGTCACGCGCACGACATCATTCATCAGTCACACGCACGACATCATTCATCAGTCACACGCACGACATCATTCATCAGTCACACGCACGACATCATTCATCAGTCACACGCACGACATCATTCATCAGTCACACGCACGACATCATTCATCAGTCACACACATGACATCATTCATCAGTCACACGCACAACATCATCAGTCACACGCACGACATCATTCATCAGTCACACGCACGACATCATTCATCAGTCACACGCACGACATCATTCATCAGTCACACGCACGACATCATTCATCAGTCACACGCACGACATCATTCATCAGTCACACACATGACATCATTCATCAGTCACACGCACGACATCATTCATCAGTCACACGCACGACATCATTCATCAGTCACACGCACGACATCATTCATCAGTCACACGCACGACATCATTCATCAGTCACACGCACGACATCATTCATCAGTCACAGCGCACGACATCATTCATCAGTCACACGCATGACATCATTCATCAGTCACACACATGACATCATTCATCAGTCACACGCATGACATCATTCATCAGTCACACGCACGACCATCATTCATCAGTCACACGCATGACATCATTCATCAGTCACAGCGCACGACATCATTCATCAGTCACACGCACGACATCATTCATCAGTCACACGCACGACATCATTCATCAGTCACACGCACGACATCATTCATCAGTCACACGCACGACATCATTCATCAGTCACACGCACGACATCATTCATCAGTCACACACAAGACATCATTCATCAGTCACACGCACGACATCATTCATCAGTCACACGCACGACATCATTCATCAGTCACACGCACGACATCATTCATCAGTCACACGCATGACATCATTCATCAGTCACACGCACGACATCATTCATCAGTCACACGCACGACATCATTCATCAGTCACACGCACGACATCATTCATCAGTCACACGCACGACATCATTCATCAGTCACACGCACGACATCATTCATCAGTCACACGCACGACATCATTCATCAGTCACACGCACGACATCATTCATCAGTCACACACATGACATCATTCATCAGTCACGCGCACGACATCATTCATCAGTCACACGCACGACATCATTC